GGATTTGGAAGGACTTCTTTAAGGTGACTTTGATGAACTTTTTGAAGGGCTCTTGGCTGGAGTCTTCCAGGAGTCTTGTCTGGAGGCTCTTACAGAAAACGTCCAAGGAAGCTTGGACAGATATTCTCCTTTTTTGCTTCTAAATTTCTCTGTAGCAGCTGCACATGTTGGATATGCCCCTATTCACTGATGCACTGTGTTCGACATTGGGGTCACATTCCTCAAACAGGGACATGGCAGCTTCCAAATGCTGAAATACCTCAGCCAACACTTCTGTGGTCAAGACTTGTTGAAGCAGTCTTTTCAACAGTGGGCGCAGCTTCTCCTTGCTCTGCTACTTTGTGCTGTTCCAGTTCAAGAAGGTCCTCATTAGTCAATTCTACAGAACGTGACGCCAGCAGCTCATTGACATCCTCTCGAGCAGCATCCGAGTCGAGTTTTTTGCCCATTTCAACAACATTTTTGATCACCTCTTCAACAGCATCTGTAAAGCCTTGGCAGTCAGACACACACTCGGGACACAATTCTCTCCAAACACCATTCACATTTATTGTTTTGCTTTGGTCTCACCCTAGACCTTGATGTTACGCAAGTTGGCCCTGGCTTTGAACCACGTAAACCACCCCCTACTTGCATTAAAAGGCTCAGCATTACAGCTCTGCCCCTGTTGTTTCTTTATATCATCATACACACTCCTCGCCTTTCCCTGAACCACACCGAAACTCACAGGAGTGTGGTGCCGACATGGATCCTCCACCCAAATGATTAACAGTTTCTCAACCTGATCAGCAATTCCAAGGTGCCGCTTACTTATCACAGTCAACTGCACAAGGAGCTGAGCCCTTGACACATTCCCCAATCCTTACCTTGTCTTTCAGGATAGTCGCGACCGCTGTTTGGGGGAGACCCAAAGCTCTACCCATTTCAGTCAGCGTCTCGCCCTTTTCAGACCTTCGAATAATTTCCATTTTCGTTCCCACAGCAACGGCTCTACGTTTCTTAGAAACACTGCCTGCGCCTGCCTTCCGCTGGCCTGCCATTACTGCGGGCCAAGAAACACTTGATTTTTTAAAAAAAATTTGGAAACACAAAGACTCACTCCCAGCATCTCAAAGCGGGGAGCTCTGCCAGGGGCAAGGGGAAAGCCGCCGTGCCCACCTTGGCGGAGAACCCGCATTCCCGTTTATCTGCGGCCCACGCGCGGCGCGGACGAGCTCGACCGGCTCCCGCCGCTCCGCGCCGCACACCTGAAGCACCGGGTAGGGTGGGATAGGGCTTCCCTCCCCTCAACTGCCGCCCCGCACCTGACGCATGCGCCGTGAGCGCCGCGGAGGGCGGGGACTGCCAGGAGCCAACGGGGAGGCAGCGCCCTTCTGACATCACGCGATGCCTCCATGAGAGGGGTCGAGCCGCTCCGTGTGCGCAGGCGCGGCAGCCGGCGTCCTGTCAGAGGTGCCCCCGGCAGTGGCGGTGGCGGCGGCGTGCGGGTCCCAGCGCCGGCCGCACTATGAAGATCTGGACCTCGGAGCACGTGTTCGAGTACGGCCGGCCGCGCAACCCTTGGGGGCCGCGTAACCTTGGGGGTGGCGGGAGCAAGTCCCTGCATCAGAAATGGGACGTTTTTCCTTCATTCGAAAATGGCGAATTTATTAATTTAAAAAAAAACCAACAATGGAAATGAGGGTCGTGGCACAAGCGGTGTCCGGTGGGCCTGGGGGCGGGGGAGGGGCAGCGCGGGGGAGGCCCCGGGTCCTTCCTGCTGTGGCAAGAAAGAGCGGGTTTGCATTTGGGGAGAAATGTCACTTTTGCTCCTCGGCCTGGGGGGGCTCGCGGGGAAGTGGTAGTGGAGGACGCGGGATTGCTGACAGAGATGGGGCGGCCGCAGGGGAGGAGCTGGAGCCTGGGGAAATGGCAGCGGACTAGTGTCCTGCGGGCTATGAAACAAGGAGGTGGGAGCTAGTTGTTGGGTACAGGCTCGAGCGCAAGGTCCTGGGTTACATGTCGCGTTGGGGCCAGGGAGTTGCATGTCAGCTGGACGGGAGCTCCATGTTTCCCCTTCTTCTGCTAGAGGAAGTTAAGTCTTTGCCGTGTACATTATTTATGCAGTGTCTCCTCAGGTTGTGACACCGGTGGAGTTGCGTTGAGCTCATTTAAGGTTATTAATTAAACCTGTAGCATTTTGCCGCTGGGTTGTTGATGCCAGTGTTAAACTGTGTCTAGTTTACGGTGTAGCGGGAGTTATGATAAACTAATGTGCACCGTTGACGTTTTAATTCTTTCATTTTGTCAGGCACCCATGGGAAACTGTTACAACAGCTGCCATGCAGAAATATCCCAACCCCATGAACCCAAGTGTCGTGGGAGTTGATGTGCTAGACAGACACATAGATCCACATGGGAAACTGCACAGCCTTCGACTACTCAGCACAGAATGGGGAATCCCCTCCATTGTGAAATCGGTATGTAGACGGTTGCAAAAATGGAAAGAATCGATGCGCACTCTTCTGCTTTGTTGTCTTTAATTTCATGTAAGTCTCCCCATGTTTTACGAGGCAGCTAAATGGTGTGTTTGCTATCCAACTTTTCCGGGGGCAGCTCAAGAGCACGGTTCTGGGCCTTGGCACCCCCTGCCCCTTATGGAATTGCTTGCATCCTGGGAATGTGCTCATGTCTGGTCCTTGCTTGCTGTACCCAAGTTTGAGGAGGGCCCACTATGGCCTGTGTGTATTATCTTGCAGCAGTGACTTTTATATTTTGTTATTTTATCTAGATTGAAAAATAACCCAGAGTTATAAAGAAAGCTGATTAATAATGCTTCATTTTTACGTGGAGAAATTGCTCCATTTAAGATACTGTCATATCAGAAGTTTCCAGTGAATCCTCAGAACAGGGACATCTTTGTACAGTGGTTTTACTGGAGAATAAAATTTGGTCTTGCAAAAGGTATAAATTTGTGGGGGGGGTTAGCTACTTATAAGAGTTGCTGTATAAGTTGGGTAAAATAGGGAAAACATGTTTCCTTGTTTGTTATAAAGTCCTAATTCAGACTGAGAATCTTGTGCCAAGGAACTACGGACATTTGTATACATGACAAAATGCGCGTCAGCATTGAGAAAATGGCGGTGGTGCACTTTCAAACTACAACATATCAAAGTTGTTTTAGTTCAAAAGTGCACCGCTGCCATTTTCTGCACGCTGACGCACATTTCGCCACTTATACAACTGCACATGACGCAGCGCAGTGTGTGTCAGCTCACGTACAGAGCAGACTCAATCAAGTCTGCTCCAATGCGACAGAGATCCATTGCATCAAAATGTATGTGTATAAACGCCTTGCATGTCTATTGTAATGGGCAATTCCTGCCTTGAGAAGCCTTCAGTCCAAATGGACAGTACAGCAAAGGATAGGAATCGGGTAGTGGATAGTAGTAGTATTTCCTTCTATTAGCTTATGTTTTGGGGCGGGGGGGAGGGGTCTTTGGAAGAGTAAATTTGGATTTACGAAACAATGGCCCATATCATTTACTTCTTATCTGGCTTAAAGACTATTACTTTTCTAAACTACAGGGGTGTAGGTTGTAGCCATGTTGGCCTAAGGACGTAGGGAGACAAGGTTCTCTTTGGGTGAATCTGATATATCTTTTATTAGACCAACTTAAATAGCTGGAGCAAGCTTTCGGGTTTAAAAACCTTTTGTCAGGCTGAGGAAGAGTTTTTTAAACCCAAAAGCTTACACCAGATTCACCCAAAGAATCCAAAATCCAAAAGCTTACTCCAGATTCACCCAAAAAACCTTGTCTGCCTACTTTTCTAATTTTTTTGAGATTGCTTATAATTTAAAACTAGTTGAGCTAGCAATGTTAATAGCATATCTAATAATTTAGATTTTTACATACTTTTAAATAAGTTTTTGCTTATTCTGGGGCAAAAAATAAGCAAAGAAAATACATCTGTAAAATCACAAAGTTTGCTAGGGGTACTTGAGGACTGGAATAGTATATGAAGTGACTCATGGTGTTTGGTTTGGTTTTTTTAAATGGTTTAAATTTCAAATTGTTGATGTTTAACTCAAATATTTACAGACCATAGCTATTTTTTAAATAGAAAAGTGAATGTCAACTTTGTGCTTAACCATTAGAATTGGGATCTAACCTTTATCTTACTTTCCATTCATACAGTAACCATTACTTTGACTGTAGTATGGTTCAAATGAAAAGAAGAAAAATCTGTAGTTAAGTGGTTTCCAGATTGTTAGTGCAGTACCAGAGAATTCACAATCCTTGTTTTCTGTCTTCTAGCTTATCGGTGCGTGTAGAACAAAGACATACATTCAAGAACATTCTGTTGTTGACCCTGTGAAAAAAACAATGGAACTCCAGTCCACTAATGTAAGTATTTTTCATCAGTAATTGATAGTCAGTAGCAGAATAATGTGCTTTTAATTGAATAAACAATTTGAAAAGGAAAATTTTCAAGGCAAAAAACAAAACGACAATAGTAAAACTATAGTTCCTTTTTTTTTCTGCGTACCATTATTAGAGGATACTTGACACTGTCAAACTTGTCCAACAGCTCTCCTAACTGCACAGTTGGTAAAATAAAAGAAAAATGTCATGAAAAATCCTTGCCCCTCTGCCAGTATAGAGAGAATTATACATTTTCAGAGAATAAGCAGTTAAGAAACACCTGCCTTACTGCTTAGCAAAGTACAGAGCATCTGACTTTTAAACACATTGTTTTGTACACACTATTATACATTGCTTTGCATTGAATAATAGTTGTCTCAGTACAATACCTGGTCTGTACATTGTCATTGTAAAAATTATCTTGTGAGCTTGACAGCTATGCTGGTAGACTCCCAAAATGAAGGACCCAAGAAAAAATGGCTCAACAAATTTTAAACTTTAGGTTTTGGTCTGTAGTTTTAGAATAATCAGTATCTTGATACCCCTGGAGGCACGGTATCAAGTACAGTGTTAGTCTTGAGTGGTTCTAATTTTATGAGCTGGTTTTTGTAAGTCTGAGAGATCACTTAACTTTTTTTTCCATAGATTTCATTTACAAATCTGGTTTCAGTAGATGAGCGGCTTATTTATAAACCACATCCTCATGCGCCTGAAAAGTAAGTGTCTTTGTCTTCCCATCTGTCTACCTAGTTAATTGCTTTCTACAGTTGTTGGCTTTTATCAGCATCGTGTCTGTTTTGATTGTAGGGAGCTGGGAAGAGGTTGGCCATGGGCTGTGACTTTATTTTCCTAGAAAAGTATAACAGACTTACATTTCCCAAATAACACTGGGGATGTTCAGAGCCAATGTGAGATTGTCATATGGCAGGACATGCAGCACAGTCCATTTCAAAGCAGCTGTTCTGATGGTGCACGTAAGAGCCAAAACCAAGGCTATAAAAGTCCCTGCCCCCTCCCCGCCACTGTGTCTCACTTCTGCTCTGTCCAGTCCATTAACCCTACTCCGCCTCCTGCTTTTTTGGCTAAGTAGCATACTTATTTCAGATCATGCATTGGCTGCTGCTCTTGAAAGAGCTGTGTTTCATTTTGCAGGTAGTTACCATGCAGAGGCTTTTCTTCACTAGTCTTTCAAGAGAATGTGTCTTGGCTGTGTCATGAAGAGAACTGCGTTTTCTGAATGCCTTTCATCTGCACAGTCATATAGATCACTCCTTCCTTTATGCTATGGGGATGGAAGGAATTTAATAGCTAAGAGAGATGTGTGTGGTGATGGGGTTTCCAAAATGCTGGAATAAGGAGTCTGTAACTGCTCCCTCGAGAGTTAGCTACTTAGAGATAGACTGTGTTGCCAGGGACCCAGATATGCAGGTTTGCATAGTAAGATCAATAGAGAAGGTGTGTTTGGAGGAAAACTTCACTTTGATAAGAGAACTATTTTATTGTTGTATAATGCAAAAAATACGTGAAGTTCTTTGTTTTTTTGCCTCAGAACCATTTTGACTCAAGAAGCAATAATATCTGTGAAAGGGGTCAGTCTCAGCAGTTACCTAGAAGGATTAATGGAAAACACAATCTCTTCCAATGCCAATAAAGTAAGTATTATACATACTTTAACGCAAAAGTCCTTTGCACATGTCGGCTTCCTGAGTTACATAGTAGAAGTTAACCTTTTCGTAATTCTTCATATTAACTTTACTTTTGAGAGATTGCATAGATGTCATAGACATTAGGGCTGGAGATGCCAGGGCTTTCCAAAAAGTAACAGTATGAATCATTTCTTAAGACACGAATCCTGTCACAAAACTCCATGTTCAGTCTCCCATCCCTGATTTTTGCATCTTCACTTTAATAACAGTAATAACACAGCTAAATTATTCTAATGTTATACAAAGGTGACAAAATAAACAAGTCTTAGTGTAATTAGTGTGGGCACATCTACACATGCGATTAATGCGACTGACTAAACTACAGTGCAGATTGAGCCAGAGTAAACTAATCCAGCTGTCACTGTCTACACATGCATTTTTAATTTATTATATATAAAGCACGGTAATTTATTACACCTTTGGATAGTACTTGTGTCTGACGGGGACGAGCTGACCGCAGTAAATTAGTCTACGCTGGCCTAATTGCCACGCATGTGTAGATGGTAAACAGCAAATTATTCTACTGCATTGTAAAGCGTACGTATAGATATGCCCAGTGTCTGCTTGGTAAAATCCCTTATTGTTTTGCCTCTTATTGAATGGGAAATTCAGGTTTATTACTGCCAATGTGAACCTTGCTGTCAGAATTGTCCACAGGGCTGACATCTCCAGATTACTTTGCAGTCTGAGTCTCTCCTTCTCCAATGTATAAGATATCATCCAGAACCTTCACCTAAGAAATAACTAACAAGACAAACAAGAAGCAGTTTCAAAGGTGCTGTTTCTGCTTTAATTGGTAGTTTATAAGTCCAAAGTGATTTTTGAACTGAGCTATCAGGAAAGTAGACTTGAAAAAAAAACATCTTTGCACATCATGATTTTAGTACCATCAAATTCAGGAGAATATTGATTGAATCAAAATCTGAATGTATTACTTTTTCATTCTGGTCTTTCACTTTGGTGGCTGAAGTGATGTATGTTGTGAGATCTCAGTTGACATTGTCAGTTCTGTGAACTAAACTGTTTTCACTTTTTGTTTAAAGTTTGATTTTGTTTCATTACATGTGGCTTTAATCTCATCTGCATGTTAGATACTGTGACGGAGTACAAAAATATAGGGACATACTCGTTTGCTATGAGTCTTCCAGAAAATATGCTGCCATGTTAACACATTAAATGAGAATGAGATTTTCCTAAGTGTGTTTGTTTTTTAATTGCAGGGTCGTGAGGCACTAGAATGGGTAATCAATAAACTAAATGCTGAAATTGAGGAGTTCGCAGCTTCAGCAAGACAAAGCATGAGGACTTCTATGGCAGCAGCAGCATTTGCAGAGAAATGATAGCAAATATACATTTATAAATTACTAGTTAGGTCTGCGTGTCTGAAATAAGGAACCAAAAGCTCCTCTTCAAACTGAAATGTATTTATTGTTATGTTTTGTTATTTAAGGACATATCTATGTATTAGCTAGGTTTTAAGGTAAAACTTTGGAGACAAGTAGCAAGTTCTTTGTGAATGAGGGTAATGTGTAGGAATTTAACTAATATGTTGGTTCAACTAAACTGAACATTCATTTCATATGAAATAATATCTTAAGAATTCAAAGGTAGTTCCTGTATTTACAGGAATTCTTACCAGTTTAAAATGACTCCTAATACAAAGTTATCTACAGTTTGTAAATAAGGTTACAAACATTGGAGGAGATTGATAGTGAATCCTACTTGAGTAGAATTTAGTGTTATTTTATTCTTGGACTCTACCTCTTTGGGGACCACACCCAAGATTAAGAAAAAATGGCTTGTTCAAGCAAGGTTGCTCCATTGTATTTGTTTTGGAAGGTTGTGTGATATAACTTGCTATAAATAGAAGATTTATTACTTGAAGCCTGAAATGCAAATGAATGTTCATCAAAACATGTATTTTTGGATAAACTTGCTAAAAGTTCTGGTCAGACAGCTGATTTGAAATGGTACTTTTAAAGTAAACTATATCCATCAAACGGTTTCTTAATATTTACAAGAAGTGTCATCTCACATATTTTGAATAGTGCTGCTCTCTGAGGCCAAAATTTTGCCTTTAAATACTACATTAGTAGGAGTTGCCTGCCATAACCAAGGAAGAATTTAGACCAAAATACTTTTATCTTTTTAGTTCAGCCTTGCAGTAACAGAACCTCTCTATTTAGAGGGGAACTATAATCTTAGAAGAATTTTAAAATGTAATTTTATAGACAGTTAAACTTTGTAGAAAAGTTTAAATTTATTTTGAAATATTGCAAAATAACTCAAATTTAAATTCTTAGATGAACTTGGTAGAGATGTATTCTCATTTGTAGGTAACAATAAACAGGGTTAGCAAAAGTAAGTTTACATTAATCATGCTTCAACATTTTTCAGTTAAACATGGAGTCAAACTATTTGAATGCCATTTCAACTAAACATAGCATCTAGCATTTCTCATCTTTTTTATTATTGAAATAAATACTTATGAACAGGGCATTTTAAATGAAGGATTTGGGGATCAAAATCAGTACGTAGTTTAGTTTCTTGGCACTGAGTTCCCATACATAATCACTAAAGGTCAGATTTTGCTAACTTTACTCAAATAGCAAATTTCTCTGAAGGCAAGCTCATTGACTTCTATGGTGGGGATGCGTAGTAAAAAACATGAGAAGGGGTAGGGGAAATGTTGTACTATAG